GAAGCATATCAGCTTAAATCTGAAAAGATCTCGCGCATTTAATCTCCTTATTGCCGTCGAACCGTTAGAATTAAAGTGTTTCACGAGAGAGAACTCACCGCGATGGACTCCTGCTGACGAAAGACTGCAATTCGAGACATTCCGGTAAAAAGACTTTCTCTCATAGACTTGTGTCGATTTGGCCCGTTGGTACAAAGGAAATCCTCGTCATTATGGTTTCCTCAATGCATTCATCCCCAGCGCATTCATCGTTCATCCATTCAATGAATAATCTCGACCATCGCTCTGGGTCGCACATGCAATATTCACGTTCCATTGACGCACGCGATATGGGGGCAAGCTGAGCCGAGAGACCCCAATCGTTCCAAGGACCCCTGCTGCGGCTGAAAATTTCCCAAGGACTCGGAATGCTCCAATTCTAATGCAGGATGAGAAACCCACAGACTTGGGATTGAAAACTTATCGTTTGAGATCACAACCAAAAAAAAAGCAAAAGAGATTTTGGGGTGTGAGAATCGCCTGTGAATATATCTGGTATTCAGAATCATTGAGATATTTCCTACTTTTCATGGAGAGAAGTGCCCTAGGAAATATTAGGTCCAGATAAAGAACCTTCTTTGTTTTTAGATGCCTTAGTTGTGGGATATTTTTGCGCGCCAAATTCATATTTGCATATCTATTCGCGATCCCACGAGACTTTTACATTGGCACTGAAGAGTCTTCTTAACTTCTACGTACCCATTTTATTCTGCCAATCAAGTACAGGAACAGACCTAGAACAGGAAGCAGTTGACAGATTTCAATAAATGACAGACATCGTGGGACCACAAGCACTAATTTCGGGCTGAAAGCGTTAACGGTGCAGTAATCTTGCCCAAGGGATGCTCCCAATGGAAAGTTGCCGCAACGACTGTTTTGACCTTCATTTCAGGACCGAATTCGCGCCCATTCGGTATGATCTTTGGTTAAGGAAAGAAGTGGAACTCATAGGTTGTTGGAGCAAGCAGGATGTGGTAAAGTTTCAGAACTAACAGCGACAATAACCCCTTGCACTGAATCATGACACTCGCAAGAGTTCGGGGCATTCTTGTTTCGCAGTGCTTGGAACACTTCTGTAATTTTTGCATTTATTAAATGTGAAATGAGATGACATGGATTCATATTAATAACACGTGATATTTATTCTGCTTCATTCCAGGGAGGAAGCGGATTCGTTTGATGAACAAATACCTTCCTTCATCTGTGGTTTCGCCTATTCTAAGTACTTTACAATACTCTTCGTTCGCTCTTAGTCCTACAGTGTTTCAGGGCAGTTACGTTGATACTTTTAGCCGAAGTAAACTGAAGTTACGAGCACTTTATCCTTATCTCGCTTAAAAAGGTGGCCCAGTCGACTTGGCTTGCGATTAGAACACTGTACGGTATGGGACGTTCAGCGGCAGGACTTCAGTCACGGAATGAGGCGGAAAGGGATGCAAAATGTAATGGAACGAAGTAGTCCTACTATCTGGTGCAGTACTCTACTTTCGACGCTTCCATGGAGAATGCGCTCTCTCACACTTAAAAAACATCTCGTCAGATGTTCTCGATTGCGCATGCTCCATGGATGAGTCAACTTAGTGTTTCCAAGGAGGTTCAACGTCATTTTAACTACCTTCCTTTGCTTGGCAGTAGATATATGGGTTGAGTTGCTCTTAGAATTAGTCGATTTTAAATACATTACATTAGCGCGTTTCTATGGATGTTTAATTTTACGTTGAAACGACTTAGCACAAGGTCGATTAGGAAACTCTCATTCAACTCAGAGCAAGATGTTCCCGAAAAAACACAGATATCCTCGGGTGAGTTCCCACATACCTCCTTTATTGTAGTCTGCTTCTTAATCCAGAGCTTCTCATCGCTTCCCAGAACTTCCAGTGCAGGGTCAGCGAAAAGCGCATCGGTACTTTGGGTGCTTGGGGCCGGTCCAGCAGAAATCGGCATATGTTTTGCCAGAAAGGGGAACAAGTTTTGGAAGCTTTTCCTTTATGCTGTTGGGAGGTTTTGTCATCGACGGATGCGGGTAGGCAGATACGATTCTAAGTTATCACATTCTTGTCACCTAGCTTGGACTCTAGGACTTAGGAAAAAACCCACATCTATAGCATTATGTATCTTGGAGAGATAAGAATGCATCCTTTGGCCCCCTACTGCTCCCTCATCTGGGAGAGATGAAGAAGCAGTACCTTACACAGGTACACTCCTACAGCCAAGAGCTAAGAATATCCCAAAGAGATAGAACACTCCCCTGGCTTGGCTAAAATCGTCATGGTGTAGCGCAGGCGCCCTGGCCACCTGTTGAAAAGGATGAAGAATCACTCTTCCTTCCATATATCCTCAATTGACGATTATTGTTTCTGAAAGGTGAGGTGTGATTTATGCCATCAGTTTCCTTGTAGTATCCACTCATATACACTTGTCAATATGTTGTGCTAAAAGGTACCACTTCGGGAAGAATATTCTGCAAATCTGCTTGCTTGAACCAAGCAAGAGCCCCGACTTTTGTATGCGAGCTCTCATATTAAAATAGAAAGATATACATAATTCAGCATCCGATGGAAGCGCTGTAATATCTTCTCTCGAAATGAAGATATCCCCGTGGAACGTCCCTGCATCACTAAAAAAAATGCATTACCCTCCCATGTCGCAAGTTTACGAAATACTAGCTATGCCGTGTTTCATGGTTGGGTGGCTTTTCTTATCAGGGGTGTGGAGAAATTGTATGTTGCCCCTCCTCCCATGCCATGTTTTATCTGCGAGGTGGATTGGTCATGCTTCTTCGCGAGCAGTAGTAAATTTTCGTGCGACCTCCTCCTAGCCAGTGACGCGGTGGAAGGGATGTCCTTATTCGGGAAGTAGACCCCGGTCACTGATTAAGGGGAGAGGTAGTAAGGTTTTTCTGGATGCCCTTAGAGACAGAGAGACAGTCTTGATTGTAACCCCATCCTGGACGCAGTTTTCCTGATTTGCGTGGCCCACCTACCTCCAGCCTCCATCATGCTACCTCTTCTGTAAGTATACTATATTTTTGTTCATTTTGTCCCTTCCCCGCGAGTTCTCCAAACATTGCTATGTAAAACTTATTAAAGCTTTGGCAGGAAAATCACCGAGTCCCAATCATTCGAATTAAAAATGCAAGACTCCCAACTCGGCTCCCAACATCAAAAACACCACTCGGCTACCGCTACAGGGGAAACACGACCTATTTCAGCAAAATAATTTATTTTCCGCAATAAAAGCATTTTTTACAAGAGGGTAAGGTACCAAAGGTGGGGGGGGGGGGGTTGCTAAACAGACTTAAGGTTTCTACAGTCTAAGAAATGCGCCAGATTAGCTTGCAAGAACCTACTTTCATTGTTTATCGTGCGAGTCTCATTTTTCTACACGTGGCATCTCGGATAAATAAGAAAGATTTTCGCCACGTTTCGAAAAACTAATATTCTCAAGTGAAGTACCGAATTTCGCAGCGAAGAAACAATCTGCACACCCCTGCTCCTAGCCAAGTATGTCACATTGCCCCTCCCTAACATAGCGGAACTTGAGCGGCAGGTAGTCTCATTCGGGTGCTGATTAGGGATATTTTTACAGCTAAATTGGCACCCTTTCATTTGAAAAATGCGAAAAAATCGTATTTATACATGTGAAAAATTCATCAAGGACAATTTGATCTCTAACAGAGCCTGCAATCTCCACTCAATCATGTTAGAACGAGCCAAAGTGACGTACCTGGGAAGGATTGGCGAGGAAATTGCTTCTCCAAGGCAATTTTTGTAACTTTATCTTAGAAAAGGGAGTGAACTTTTTTAAAACTTTGCAAGAGTTTTTCTTATTCATCTAGAACGTCATATGCCGGGGCCTCACTGTATATCTGAAGGAAATATAAAAAATATAGAAACTGGTGGCTCCTCCGAGACAATGATTGTCTGCTTAAAAAGTGCAGCGAGCACTCAGTCCATGGAACGATGATTCCAGAGAGATTCTCCTGTTTTTTTTTTTTTAACAATATGTCGCTGCATAACAAGCCAACCAGAACGAGAAGTGACAGAGCTTCTCCATCCTTTCCGCTAGAGCGTCAGTAACGCACACACCAGCCAAAGTGATTGCCAAAATCTGGCTATGAAGCACCCCGCAAGCGATAAAGTCCTAAAGCAGCGACGTATACAGCGGAACACATGCCCAGCGACGAACCGAATCACGAACATGATACTGATCTGTGGCTTGCGTCGAACTGTTTCAATTCATTTATATCAATAACGGACAAGGAAGTTAAGAATGGGTCAACGAGATGTCGGATCACAACTGACTGCAGTTGAACAGACGTAACCGAGGCGAGTGGCAACTGCAGTCAAACAGGAACTGGAGAGTGATTTCAAAATCTCAGTCCGTTCAAAGTCCAGTCGTAGTTCCATTCGACTGCAACTGCAACTGAACTACGGCTATGAAATCAACCCTGGGATTGCAAGGGTATTTGTTCTACTCGCAGGAGGCCAGGCACACCTTCCACGTGATACGACTAATCAGTGTATTTCAATAGAGATAATTAGATAGCGTAGCTTACACAAGAAAGTAGAAGGATCCTCCCAAGGATCTCCGGGCAGGAATTTCCAGGTTTATTCCAGGCCTAGGTTACATCTTCAGAGAAAATTTTCGAAGAATTCCATTCCATTTCCAATGAGGTCTCTGTGAGAAACCATAGGGGACTCCTTTCAGCAGAATCTGAGAAGTGATTCCCTACTACGATCGCCTTAGCTCCATCTCGCACCGGTTTTCGGAACTTTCTCAGCCACATTGTCTCATCTTCGGCGAATGATCAGCTAATCATTCGCCGAAGATGAGCCAACTTTCCGAACTTTGGCCCGACGATAAACCGACGAAATTTTCTTACTGGGATGTCAATGTAGTATGATAATCAAAGATTGTGCCTTTCGTGAGGGGGTGGGGGGTCTTCTGCATTTTCTTCCTCAATGTCGTGAATCGTACCATTCCAGTGTGGCCCTTCCACAAGGGAACTCCTCATCTCTCTTGAAGCATGGATCTTTGTTTCCTGTGTGGTGGAAAAGAATTCAAAAGTCGCAACATAACAGTCATTAGGTTGATTCCTGGAAAACTGTAGATTCGCTTCATTCAACAGGAGAAACAGGATAAAACAACCTGTATGTTCACTATGCCCTTTCGGACAATCCGGATACTCCCAGGATTTTCTGTAGACACCATTCACTCACGCATTAATTTGTTCAGTTATTGGGGTAGGAATGGGATTCGTGGGTGAATCTGGGGTAGGAAAACATATATGAGGCATGATGATGCTGAATGATGATGATGTTGATGCTAAGGACGGGGATGGTACTGATGAGCAAAAAAAATTAATTTCTGGCATTGAGTGCGCGAGATGAAGTGAATGTGTTTCGTTCAGCAGCCAGCAAGTTGTCTGTATCTACTTGTGAAGAATAAGATAAAACGGACTTACCGGCCGGAAAAAGCAGATTCGACGCAGTTGATGAAGCTGTGCTTGATGTACGTGCAGATTCAATGACTGGGAGTGTCGATTCCGTGGTAGACGGAATCGACGATGTAGCGGGTTTAGATGGGGATAGGGTGGCCGATGTAGTGGCTTCAGATGTGGATGGGATGCTGGATGTAGTTGACTCAGGAGTGGGTGGGGTGGCCGATGTAGCTGATTCAGATGTTGATAGAGTGACCGATGTAGTGGCTTCAGATGTTGATAGAGTGACCGATGTAGTGGCTTCAGATGTGAATGGGATGCTGGATGTAGTGGGCTCAGGAGTAGGTGGGGTGATCGATGTAGTGGCTTCAGATGTGGATGGGATGCTGGATGTAGTGGGTTCAGATGTTGATAGAGTGACCGATGTAGTGGTTTCAGATGTGGATGGGATGCTGGATGTAGTGGGTTCAGATGTTGATAGAGTGACCGATGTAGTGGCTTCAGATGTGAATGGGATGCTGGATGTAGTGGGCTCAGGAGTAGGTGGGGTGATCGATGTAGCTGATTCAGATGTTGATAGAGTGACCGATGTAGTGGCTTCAGATGTGGATGGGATGCTGGATGTAGTGGGTTCAGGAGTGGGTGGGGTGATCGATGTAGCTGATTCAGATGTTGATAGAGTGGCCAATGTAGTGGCTTCAGATGTGGATGGGATGCTGGATGTAGTGGGCTCAGGAGTGGATGGGGTAGCTGACGATAGGGGGTCAGGAGTATATGGCGTTGTGGTTGCAGTGGGCGTAGCCTGTGTTGGGATAGTGGATGCAGAGGGCGAAGTAACGGTTGGCATGGTCAATGCGGTTGTTGATGCAGTAGTACTTGGGGCCGTCGACGCGGAAGTGGACACTGTTGTGGTTGGTGTCGCCGATGTGGTGGTGTGTAACGTTGTGGATGAATTTGAAGTGGTCATTGCTTCCTCTGAAAATATATTTTTCATGTCCCTATTAGCATTGTAAAGGAGTTTCACAATTCATAGTATCTTGTATATTCAGTCTACGTTATACACATTCATCAGGGCAACATCGAGACTCATCATTGAGTCCAATGGCGATACATACCTATGCATGGTGGGGGTCCGTTAGGATTCCCAACGTATCCATCAGCACAAGTGCATTTCTTAATTGGGAGTCCTGAAATTTGGACGCAGACAAGATGATTTATGGGGTCGCATTGAGTGTCCGACGAGCAAAATTTGCTCAGGATCTCTGTGATGTTAAATTCAAAGCTTTTCTGGATCCCTCCAAGAAGAAGAAGAAGCAGAAGTGTTCCATGTCTTCTTTCTTCAATCTATATCAAGAAAACAAAAGAGCCAATTTCACTAGTGAAAGAATCCTACCTTCTGAGAAATGTATTACTTCAGTTCAAAATTTACTTTTGGAAAACCGAAATTTCGGATCAGAATTGCCCATCTCCCTTCTGATGGGGGTGATTATATCACCCACGCTGGACCCTTTTGTTATGGACTATAGGTTTATTTTTAGATTCAGTTCACGGACCCTGAAATGGATCTATCAACCCTTTTACTGATTTCTAAATGGTGGCATAATTTTTAAGTTAATTTTTAAGTTAAAGCCTTTCTTTCGGGATGTACATTTTTTTTTAGCTTGGGATTTCCTCTTTGTGCCCATTCTTTGCCAAGAATTTGTTCTCTGCTTATAACGACAAACTAGACTAAAATTTTGTTTCCAGCGGGTGAGAACAAAATTCAGACGTTTTCGTTAACAGAACTCGCCAAAGGTGAAATATATTTCGTCTAGCTCAGGCAATCTCCATGCAGCACACCGCGGTGGGTCTACAATGACGTTGCGCGGGAACGCTTGGGCCAACTTCGCGCTTGGCTGACCAAGTAGGTTCCACATTGACGCTCTTGCGTCAGCCAATATTTGTCCTTGGTACGTGCAAGTTGTCTGGTTCAGTTGCACGCACTCGAGAAAACAAATGTGGGAATATGCAAATTGTTCCAACACTCTTATACTGTATACGAGAAGCGACGATTGAAGCTGTTGTCTGTTGTAAGTTTTTCCCGAATCCATCCAGTATATTTGGAGATTTGGAAGGGCTCAGTGCGCATTAATCAAACTTTTCTAACCTACTATACATCCACTGTACATGGAGGTACAGTATGAAGCGGGCAAATGTGGAGTGAGTCCGTGAGAATGAACGGGATTTGTGCTAGTAAAGAGATGCGGGCATACGTTCAGTGGAGTATGCAACGAGTTAATGCCATGCTTTGTGGGTCAACGGTTCACAGGCATAACAGGCCATACCCTCGCGATTATCCAGTCTAGTCATACGTTGTATATATGTCTATGCTTCGAAATGGTCTAAAGGTCATGCAGCACGCGAGTGTTTTAATCCTAACTCCTCGCTGGGATACCAACATACTCCTTACATTGGTCCAATGTGTGTATGCTGCTCCCTCTTCTTCATCTGGAATTAATTGGAGTCTCTGGCTCCTTTTTCGGCGATATTTGTGTCTATATTTTTCCATATACTGTATTTATCCCTTCGTCACTGAGGAACTTCTGGGCCGCAAAAGAGCGTTTTTCACCCATGGGGCAAGCAAAACAGGAATTGATCGTGATGGCGATTTCCTTGCGTAGAGAAATGGGAAATACTTCCTGCCTGAATCCCCCCCTTACCCTCTACTAAGACTTCAGAGAGGCCGTCCATCTGAGAAGCTGCAGGGGGATTTTAAAGTGAAAGAAAAGTTTAAAGATTATCCCTGCATGCCAGACCTTATTATCGAAGGCTTTAGTCACGTCGAAGAAAAGAGCCAAGAGATGCATTTTACTGTGGACAGCCACCAACGCATCGTGGTGGAGACGAACGAGCTGGTCAATTGTACAGAGATTCTTACGAAAGCCAGATTGAGAGGGAGAGAGTAAGTTATTTGTTTCCAGGTAATCATTGAGGCGAGAGGTAAGAATCCGTTCTAAGAGTTTTTGCAGACAGCTGAGAAGGCTAATAGGACGAAAGGAAGAAGGGTCGGAAAGGTCCTTATCGGGCTTAGGGATCATAGTAATTATTGCGGACTTCCACCCGAGCGGGACGTGTCCTAGGCGGAGACAGGCGTTGTAGATGAGATAGAGAGAGTGAAGAGCACGCTCGGAGAGATGTTTAATGCTATTAACGAAAATATTATCGGGGCCAGGGGCTTTATTAGGGGAAACTTTAATCGCGGCCTCGATCTCATCGAGCGTTATTTCGTAAGTAAGAGCTTTCTGTGAGGGAGAGAGATACTCAGGTTTAGAGGAGAGGTCTAGGAGAGAGAAGTTACAGATTTTCTTTTCGAGATCGAGGCATACCTCTGGAGGGCGACGCCCCAGGGAGCTGGGGGGTTCAGTCATAGCTTCCAGCAGAGAGAGAAGGCTAAGAGTGTAAGGGCGATGTAAGTTTGAGCTGTGTAAATCGGGGAGAGACCAGAAATCCAGATTCCCGATCCTTACCTTTTCTCCGCTAGACATATCGAGATATGAAATTCGCAAACTATCCAGAGGATCATCGCATCCCATAAACCATTCCAATTTTGTTGGAGAAGACATGAGAGAAGGTGTAGGCGAGAACGTCTTGTGGTTTACAGATTTATTTTTGGGAAATCATTTGTGGAAACATTCGCATTTCAAGAAGTTTTCGCAATCTTCTCGTTTCCAAGAGATGAGGCACTTTCGCAGTGGCGTGCGGTTGTCTGTAACACAGGTCATGTAGATCTTTCTCGACGGTGCTTCAAAAAAAAAAGAACACCTCACCTTATTTGCAGTTAAATTTTATGCCGACGTGATTTAAATTAAAGCCACGAATTTGATGTAAATGGCAGAAAAATAAAATACTGTTATGTCATTCATTTCAAGTTTTCCTTTATTTTTGGCTTCTTTTCTTGAGAAGTGGGGTTACCTGCACCCCCTCCACCGACACACAGGCTTTAATCGTTAGCAAACGCCACGTGTTCATCGTCTAAGCTGGTGTTGCAGTGCATGACCTGCATGCCAAACTGCACTCCTCTCATATTTCGAGTTTTATTCACGTTCGTTTGGTGACGGAATTTTCAGACAAAGTGATATTTTCAAACCATGCTCATTCGTCGTTTTATTCGAGTTTTGAAGAGTCTCCGATTGTAAGGTTAAAGAATTTGACATCCCCGTTGCATGCTAAGACGCAAGGAATAACTTAACGTCCTTGCCTCAAAAAGTAACGTACGCTCCATTGAAAGACATTGGGTTGTTTCTGGTCGGTTTCGCTTTGTACGGCTGACAGGGCGGGCATCGATCCGCGAGACTCCTCGCCTTCCCATTCACAGCAATGTCTTTTGAGTTTTGCCGATGGTGCGTTAAGTTTTGACTCCAGGTACGTTAGAAATTGATCGTAGGACGTTCTGTTGTCCCTTTTGGAGAGCGGAAATTGAGTCTCAACAGCAGTACGCACACTTTTGACACGGGTACGTTAAGTTTTGAAAGTATTACATCATCACATTATCGCCTTTCCGTATTCGGAGGAATTATTTTCCCGGTCTGCTTCTTGGCTGTCCATAGACGTTCCTAACTCCGTAAGTTAGAATATTGGAGAACGTACTTTGATTTTGACAAAGGGACGCCCTTTTGACTGCCGGACGCATGGATATGAGAAAAGAGCGCAGCATTTTGCGGATCGTACGTTAAGTTTTGAAAAATGTCCTTTGAGGTATGAAATAGGACTTTAGCAATTGGAAAAAACTGTAACTATTTTTTCTCGATATTGGTGGGTCTGATCTATGTTGAATTTTTAGCGCTATCATATGAATCGGCTTTCGTAATTTCATTTTGAGATTTCAATACTTTTGATGAACGAGCAAAATTTACCCGAGTTAGAATAAGCATTTTTCGTGAGACCTACTCCCTTAGATAGAATGACATTCCTAACCACGGCCTTCATAGCAAGAAGCAAGCACATTCGTGCCTAAACAACATGGTCATGGGTTCGATCTCAAGCACCGTCTTTACTTTTTTTTCTCAAGATTGATAGGTCTAATCAATGTCGAATTTTTTACTGCTATAATAGGAATCGGTCGTTCTAATTTCATTTTGAGATTTGAATACTTTTCCTTTGATGAACGAGCAAAATTTACCCGGGTTAGAATAAGCATTTTTCGTGAGACCTACTCCCTTAGATTGAATGACATTCCTTACCCCACCCTTCATAGCGAGAAGCTAGCACATTCGTGCCTAAACAATATGGTCATGTGTTCGATCTCAAGCACAGTCTATTTTTTTTTCTCAAGAATGGTAGGTCCGATCAATGTCGAATTTTCAGTGCTGTCAAAGGAATCGGCTCTTGTAATTTAATTTTGAGATTTTAATACGTTTCTTTTGATGAACGAGCAAAATTTACCCGCTTTAGAATAAACATTTTTCGTGGGACCTACTCCCTTAGACAGAATGACATTCCTCGCCTTGCCCTCCATAGCGAAAAGCTAGAACCTCCGGACCTAAACACCATGGTCATGGATTCGATCCCATAACCGTCTTAATCTTTTTTTTCTCGAAACTGGAGGGTCGAATGTCGAATTTTTACTGCAATCATAGGAATCGGTCGTTGTAATTTCATTTTGAGATTTGAATACATAAACCAGCAAAATTTGATAAACCAGCAAAATTTACCCGCTTCATGAAATGACTTTTTCGAGAGACCTACTCCCTCAGATAGAATGACATTCCTTTCCCCCGCCTCCATAGCGAGGAGCTAGAACCTCCGGGTCTAAGCACCATGGTCATGGGTTCGACCTCAAGCACCGTATTTATTTTTTTTTCAAGAATGGTTGGTCTAATCAATGTTGAATTTTTGGTGCTATTATTGGAATGCGCCTTTGTGATTTCATTTTGATATTTGAATACTTTATTTTGATAAACGAGCAAAATTTACCCGTTTTATAAAATGATTTTTTCCAGAGACCTACTCCCTCAGATGGAATGACATTCCCTACGTCTCCCTCCATAGCGAAAAGACAGGACCTCCGGGCCTAAACACTTTGGCCATGGGTTCGACCCCATGCACTGTCTTTATTCTTTTTTTGGAAAATGATGCGTCTGTTCAATGTCGAATTTTTAGTGCTATCATCGGAATGCGCCTTTGTAATCTCATTTTGATATTTGAATACTTTTTTTTTTATTAAAGAGCAAAATTTACCCGCGTTAGAATGAGC